CAAAAAAAAGTGATAAGTGCTTATTGTGGACAATTTGAAAAACCAAAACAAGGACAGAAAAATGTAAATACAAGAATAAAAATAACAGTTCCACTACCTAGAAAGGGCAGTGTTTTGGCTCCTTAGAATATTTTTGCAATGCATCACAGCAAAAATGATTGAACCTTTATAGAATTCCTTATGTGCAGGCATAATTCTCCATACATTATATACATATTAGGCACATTAATCATCGCAGTATCCTTACTGGAGGTGTTAGTATTATCTCAGTTTTGTGGAGGACGAAAGCGAAGCAAAGAGTGGTGAGGCCACACTTCCAGTACCACAGGATCATGCCTACCAGGCATTTCTGGTTCTGCCTGGCCTGCATGCTACTTCTCATTTATATATAAAAAGAATGATAGCTATCATTTTATACACCTCAGATCATACTGTACATACAATTTTAGATCCTGCTTTTTAACATAGCATTATTTCATGGGTATTCTTTCAAGTTTTCACACGTTGTTCAACTATTTCCTGTGGCTACATAGCTGTAGCCATTACCACCTCCCACGGGTGATACTTCGGTTGTTTTTGTTATCATAAAATCGATGCCGTGAATGTCTGTGTACAGAAACCTTTGATCTGCTTTGTGATTACTTGCTCAGGACAAATTCCTGCAAGAGGATGACTTGGTCAGAATTTTTGGCAGTTCTTCAATTTCTTGGAGTGGAAAAAAGGAAGACAAAAAGTGCTCCAATGTGCGATGCAGACCTGAATGACAAAGTTTAGGAAAGTCAGAGGAGACTTGCTTGACCTGGTGGAGTGGAAGATACGCAGGCACTGGACGGCGAGGAGCAGGGTGCTCTGGGACTCTGGACACTCCTCCATGTGGAAGTCAGTTGACGGGGCAGGAGGCAGATGTAGGCACGCTTCTCTGAGCAGGGGCTGAGAGGACAAAGGAAATTTGGGAGACAGAATGCTGACCCTTGAGGCAGGGAGCACACAGCACATGAAGAACACGCTGCAGAGATGAGCCTAGAGCAGGTGCGCAAGGCCGGGCCCTGAAAAGGCCTGGGCGTCCTGCTAGGGACAGCGGAGGCTCTGAGGGCAGTGGCGAGGGCGGCTGCAGCACCCTTGCAGAGATGCGGAGTGCCTGAGCCATGAGCGGACCAAGGCAGTGCCCAGGGCTAGATGGGGGTGGGGTGGAAGCAGAAGACTCAGGGGAAGCAAGCTCTGGGGACCCAGAGGGGCACAGGCACTGCCCCGGCCTAGGCCTGTCCGCAGTGTCTTTGCTGGTCTGCGGCCCTCTGCGCCATCTCCCTCGCTTCTCCAGGAAGGGCACAGACTGGGCACACACCAAATGCTGACGTGGAAATGCGAACGCTGCAGAGACATGGAGGACGAACCACTCCTCTGTTGTTCCGAGACAGCGCCCGTGAGATACGGGCCTGTGTGGGGCAGAAGATGAGGAGGCACCACGCTGCGTATGCCAGTTCAGGTCGTCGTCGTGGGGCCCAGGACAAGAGGGGCGCTGGGCGGCTCCTTCCCCTGCCAGCGCCGCTGCCCCCCTCCAAGCAGAGAGGTCACCCAGTGCTTTTCTCCAGGCAGTTATTTGGGGGATGACTAAAGATTTCGATCGGCCAATCGGGCTTTTATGGAAGCTGCTCTCCTTGGTTGTGTCCCGATCTTTGGCTTGGGGAGCACTTTTCCCGTGTGATTCTTCAGCCTCCATCTTTCACTTAATTTCTCTCTCCCCCTCCTGTGTCAGCTTTGTGCAGGTCCCTTCACAGGTACACAAAACTCCCAGCATGACCTTCTAGCACGGGCCTCAAAAGCACAGAAACCTCTTTCCGTCCTTCCCTCTGGGAGGATTGCCCCACGGAAGAGCAGAGACGTTGTGGCAGGAAGAGCAGGGAACGCAGGAGCTGAGGTGGGCGCTGCGGGCCATAGAAGATGCTGCTGTCGGGCGGGCGGCTGGGTTCAGGACCAGCCTCGGGGGTGGGCAGAGTGGCAGTGCGGATCCAAGCTCCACTGCAGGAGACAAACCCCCGCGTCAGTGTATACTGATGAATATTTTGCATTTTAGCAGATACGTATCTATTTTAGGGTGATTTATTCCGTGGAAATCATTACTTTTCAAATATTTCTTTTGCATAATATATAAACGACTTAAAATGTTAGGCAAATTAGCTCAGATTTTTGGTGCGAAATGCACACACAATCCTTAAGACTAGGAGACACAGGTGCTATGAAAACAAGTTTGGAATCAGAGCCGTGGATAGAATCCAAGCCCTGCCCTTTATTAAAATGTGCCCGTGGGAAGATTGCTTCCTAGTTCCTCAGTTTTGTCATCCATAAAGTGGGGAAGTAAAAGCTACCTTTCCACGTTGTTGAGTGATTTAAAGATTCATTTGCTACTTCATTCATTCCTTTAATCACAAAGTATTCATTATGCATCTCTAGTGCCTTTCCCTCTCCTGGGCATGGGGGAGACAGCAGCAAATCAAACAGTAGCTTCTCCAGTAGATAGATTTTCCATTCTAGCTAGGTGAGAGATGATAAATGCTTAGGCAGATGCATGAAAAGCATCGTATACTAAGAGAAGCAGAGTAAGGGAGAAGGGATGTCAGAGCTTCTGAGACAGACCAAAAGGCATGTCTGAGGAGGAAGATGGTTACTGAGGAAGATGTTAGTGGGCCGGGACCCCAGGGAGAGAAGAGACGAAAAGGAGCTGAGCTAGCTGTAAGCCAGGGAAGGAGGGCCTGGGAGGGGAGCGAGGCAGCCTTCGACGTTGTTGGCTGTGACGGCAAGAAGGAACTCATTGCATGGTACCTATGAAAGATGCTCTATTCAGTTGATATTTGAACAGCTGTGTTCCTAGTGGCCTCCATGTACAGAACTCAGTTTTGGGCTCCCAGATTTTAAGGCTGCCAAAATGAGCCACAGAGAGGAGCTCAAATTCTCGTGGTGGAGGTGGTGGTCAAATCAATATCAAGTATTCATTGACTGCTTGTTGTATGTGAAGCAGAGCTCTGACAGTTTTAATGTTGCAGCCCAGGCCATCCTTACAAAATAAAAATATAGAAACAGTTGGTATTATCCCCATTTTATAGATGAGGAAGCTGAGGCACACACAGCATGGCCACAGAGTACACACTGCCTGTCAGCTGCCAAAGAAAAGCAAAGTGAATTAAATGTGCTGCTTGTCCCAAGCTTCCAAACAGAGCGCAGCAGTAACGTTACCCTGAGGATGACCACAGGCCGACACAGGTGCTCCGGCTTAGGCGCTGGGCGTGTCACCTCTCCCCACCATGCTGCAGCCTCTTAGTCATCCAGATGAGGTCAGCAGGGTATCTGTCCTGCCGGGGGCCATGAGGAGTAAGGAGAAAGTGCCTTTGCACACAGCCTGCTGCTTGGAAAATACAAGTCATCCTAATAGTCCACCAGGGTTTGTGGGTCTGGGCCTTGAGGCACAAGGAAGACTACCAGGAAATGACTAAGTTTAGGTGGCTGGAGAGCATCCCAGGAAAGCAATGGAACGTTGGAAGTTCTGATGCGACTGGCACCTCACATGCGGTGGATGAGGACAGAGCAAACAATCCTTCTAGCTTGTGACACTAGGGAGAACCTGATAGTTACCACAAGGACAGTGTGTTAGCTGCTGGGGCTGCTGCAGCAAGATGTCACAGTGAGGAATTAAATGACGGAAATCTTTCTCTTCAACAAGACGGCCCATCATGACATGCCAGTTACTGCTAAGATGTCTCTCGGGTAGGTGGATGTTCAAGAATAAGGGGGTGGTGAATGAAATCAAGAGACAGGAAAAGGAATACTGTGGGAC